ATATTTGTTGATATTTTTAGGGTCGGATCTCGGGCAGGCACCCCAACTGACGGTGGTAATTATTTAAAATATAATTGACAAAATTTCGGGTAATCGTCACAAACAGTTACCCCATGTTGAGCCTATGGCGAATTCGAAAAATTATTTTCAAATCGATTTTGCAAAAAATTTCCACGTTAGATTTTGAAAATGTTCCAATATGTTGTGCCCCGGGTGGTCGGCTACCACATGGTATGGGACAGATATGGGGCGATTGAAAAGCACGTGCCACGTGCAAACGTGTTTGATGGGGTAACCTCCGGGAAAATCCGACATTGGCCTATTTGGGGTTCTATGGCGCGGAAACGACTTCAGCTAGCGACACCAAATCAGTGCAGCCCGTGAGCAGATGAGTCCAGCTTGTCGCACTAGTGGTCACGTGGCGCACGTGCTATTGCACGTGCCGTGGCACGGGGTCAATTTTGGTGCTTAAATATACTAGCATTTTGAAATGCAAGGAATGGGGGAAATAGTCGTCAGGCCGTCAGTTTTTATGATAGGGTCGATCTGAAAACGGGTATAGGCACAGGATGAAGGGGGCTAAAAAACTGCTATCTCGGATTTTTTGTAAAATGAAAAATTGAAAATTCTGGGGGAATTATATGTTCGAAAGGTGAAATTTCCCTAAATTTTCCCGTTTTTCGAGTTTAGCCGTCCACTGTTCAGAGACGGTGACACCGGCCGGGGTCATCTTTTACATGCTGATGGCCACGTCGATGGGTCATCACGTGGCGTGAACGGTGAAGCTATCAGAGGTCCGGCATTTGCCACGTGGCCACGTGTTTGAGTCACGTACCTCCCAGATTATCGTGTGTTTGCCGATTTGTGGCCTTATAGCACGTAAACTGCACCAGTTAAGAAGCCTGAAATGGTGCATTCAGTGAGGGAACAAGTCCTGCTTACACCACCGGTGGTCACGTGGCACACGTGCAAATCCGGGCACCTCCGTTGCGGAGATATTTTATAGTGAATTATTCAAATGAACATAACTTTGTCAGTTTATGTCCGATTGGACTAGAATTTAGTGGGTGGATGAATTGTTAAGCGACATGAACGAATGCGCCATGTTTGTTGCAGTGCGCCACGTTTGTCTCAAAGCGCCATTTTTGCCGCAAAGCGCAGAATGTGCGTAACTTTGTCGATCATTGGACGATTAGGATGCGCTGTAATTAAGGGATGGCTGCTTATACGGCAGATATTAATGCACCACATTTGCCGCAGGACGCCATATTTGTCTTAATGCGTCAGTGTTTGCGTTTTGCCTACGGCGGGCGTTTTTTGCGGCGGCGTTTGCGTTTTTTTCGGTGTTTGCGTTTGACGGCGGGCGGCCGTTTTTGCGTTTTTGGCGGTGTTTGCGTTTGGCGGCGGGCGGCCGTTTTTTGCGGCGTTTTGCGGTTGGCGGTGGGCGTGCGTGCGTTGCGGGCGTTTTTTTTTTTGCAGCGGTGTTTGCGTTTTTTGCGGTTTTTATGCTTGGCGGTGGGCGGGCGGGCGATGCGGGCGTTTTTGCTGTTTGCGTTTGGCGGTGGGCGGCCGTTTTAGCGGCGGTTTGCGGCGGGCGGCCGTTTTTTGCGGCGCTTTGCGGTTTGCGGCGGGCGGCCGTTTTTTGCCGCGTTTTGTGGTTTGCGGCGGGCGGCCGTTTTTTACGGCGTTTTGCGGTTGCCGGCGGCCGGCCGTTATTTGGGGTTAGCGGCGGGCGGCGGGTGGTCGTTTTTTGCGGCGTTTAGCGGTTTGCGGCGGGCGGCCGTTTTTGCGGCGTTTTGCGCTTCGCGGCGTGCGGCCGTTTTTTGCGGCGTTTCGCGGTTGGCGGCGGGCGATGCGGGCGTTTTTTTTGCGGCGGCGGTGTTTGCGGTGTTTGCGTTTTGCGGCGGACGCGCGTTTTTTTTTTGCGGCATTTTGTGCGTTTTTTTCTGCGGTTTTCGGCGGGCGGGCGATTGTTTTTTTGCGAAGTTTGCGTTGGCGTTTTAGGCGTGCGTTTTGCGCGTTTTGCGGTGTTTGCGTTTGGCGGCGCGGGCGGTTTTTCACAATTAAAGTCCCAACCTTCGGATCCGCAGTGCTGTTCGACAAGCGCTGCCCGGGCCTATCCGAAGGTTGGGACTTTTCAATTAAGAACAATCACTATTCTTTAGAATTGTGATTTTCTATTGAAAATCCCAACCTGAGCTACCTCTCTAGGGGGGTGTTTAGCGTTTCTGCCGCGATTTTGGTCATTTTGATCGCCGCCGAAACGGCACGGTAGAATTTCTTGCCATTTTCAGCGTTTGGTCCCGTATCGGGGAGCTACCGGCTGGCATCGGTCGCTTGAAATATAATTAACCCGTTTTGGGGTAATCGGCACGTGCATTTTCCCATAGGGTTAACATGGGGGAAAATTGAAAATTCGATTTGCGAAAAATTTCGTCAATTATATTTGCTGATATTTTTAGGGTCGGATCTCGGGCTGGCACCCCAACTGACGGTGGTAATTATTTAAAATATAATTGACAAAATTTCGGGTAATCGTCACAAACAGTTACCCCATGTTGAGCCTATGGCGAATTCGAAAAATTATTTTCAAATGGATTTTGCAAAAAATTTCCACGTTAGATTTTGAAAATGTTCCAATATGTTGTGCCCCGGGGTGTCGGCTACCACATGGTATGGGTCAGATATGGGGCGATTGAAAAGCACGTGCCACGTGCAAACGTGTTTGATGGGGTAACCTCCGGGAAAATCCGACATTGGCCAACTGGGGGTCCTATGGCGTGGAAACCACTCCACCTAGCGACACCAAATCAACGCAGCCGGTGAGCAGATGAGTCCAGCTTGTTGCACCAGTGGTCACGTGGCGCACGTGCTATTGCACGTGCCGTGGCACGGGGTCAATTTTTGTGCTTAAATATACTAGCATTGTGAAATGCAAGGAATGGGGGAAATACCCGTCAGGCCGTCAGTTTTTATGATAGGGTCAATCTGAAAACGGGTATAGGCACAGAATGAAGGGGGCTAGAAAACTGCTATCTCGGATTTTTTGTGAAATGAAAAATTTAAAATTCTGGGGAAATTATATATTCGAAAGGTGAAATTTCCCTAAATTTTCCAGTTTTTCGAGTTTAGCCGTCCACTGTTCAGAGACGGTGACACCGGCCGGGGTCATCTTTTACATGCTTATGGCCACGTCGATGGGTCATCACGTGGCGTGAACGGTGAAGCTATCAGAGGTCCGGCACGTGCCACGTGGCCACGTGTTTGAGTCGCGTACCTCCCAGATTACCGTGTGTTTGCCGATTTGTGGCCTTATAGCACGAAAACAGCACAAGCCAGGAACACTGAAATGGTGCAATCAGTGAGGGGACAAGTCCTGCTTGCACCACCGGTGGTCACGTGGCACACGTGCAAATCTGGGCACCTCCGTTGCGGAGATATTTTATAGTGAAATATTCAAATGTACATAACTTTTTCAGTTTAAGTCCGATTGGGCTAGAATTTCGTGGGTGGATGAATTGTTAAGCGACATAAACGAATGCGCCACGTTTGTTGCAGTGCGCCACGTTTGTCTCAAAGCGCCATTTTTTGCCGCAAAGCGCAGAATGTGCGTAACTTTGTCGAACATTGGACGATTAGGATGCGCTGTAATTAAAGGATGGCTGCTTAAACGGCAGATATGAATGCACCACATTTGCCGCAGGGCGCCATATTTGTCTTAATGCGTCAGTGTTTGCGTTTTGCCTACGGCGGGCGTTTTTTGCGGCGGCGTTTGCGTTTTTTTTTTTCGGGGTTTGCGTTTGACGGCGGGCGGCCGTTTTTGCGTTTTTGGCGGTGTTTGCGTTTGGCGGCGGGCGGCCGTTTTTTGCGGCGTTTTGCGGTTGGCGGCGGGCGTGCGTGCGTTGCGGGCGTTTTTTTGCGGCGGTGTTTGCGTTTTTTTTGCGGTTTTTGTGTTTGGCGGCGGGCGGGCGGGCGATGCGGGTGTTTTTGCTGTTTGTGTTTGGCGGCGGGCGGCCGTTTTAGCGGCGGTTTGCGGCGGGCGGCCGTTTTTTTGCGGCGTTTTGCGGTTTGCGGCGGGCGGCCGTTTTTTGCGGCGTTTTGCGGTTTGCGGCGGGCGGCCGTTTTTTACGGCGTTTTGAGGTTGCCGGCGGCCGGCCGTTATTTGCGGTTAGCGGCGGGCGGCGGGCGGTCGTTTTTTTGCGGCGTTTTGCGGTTCGCGGCGTGCGGCCGTTTTTTGCGGCGTTTCGCGGTTGGCGGCGGGCGATGCGGGCGTTTTTTGCGGCGGCGTTGTTTGCGTTTTTTGCGGTGTTTGCGTTTTGCGGCGGACGGGCGGTGTTTGGCGGCGTTTTTTTTGCGTTTTTTCTGCGGTTTTCGGCGCGCGGGCGATTGTTTTTTTGCGAAGTTTGCGTTGGCGTTTTGGGCGTGCGTTTTGCGCGTTTTGCGGTTTTGCGGCGGGCGGGCGGTTTTTCACAATTAAAGTCCCAACCTTCGGATCCGCAGTGCTGTTCGACAAGCGCTGCCCGGGCCTAAAAGAGAGTGCTATTTACGATAAGCTGTAAAACGTTTTTGTTGTTGTAATATCCAGCTTCTGACGACGCAAGAAACGTTTTATCGAAACCAAAAAATAAACAGCTGATTTACGATGCTGCGGGCTTTTTTGTTGGCTAGTACCAACATATTTTTATTCGGCTTTGCCTCTGCTTTGCAATGTATCCATACTCAAACTTTGCCACTAATTCAAACAGGAGAACTTTATAAGACTTGCATGTAGATGTTGTACGCAGCATAACATATGTCAGGTGGGTGGTAAAAACTAGTTAAGTTTCTCGTGGTGTTCACAGGAGCATATTACCAGTTAATAAACAGAGGAGAGCACCATGGGGTGCCACTGTCAAGTCATCACCAATGAGAAGGTGAAGGCATCACAAAAGCACCCCGAGATACAAACAGAACACTCGCGCATACTCACAGGGCGCATACTCACAGGTGAGGGCTCTCACCTATCGCTGAGAATGCCCCAGAACCACGAGCCCACGATGTTGCCTGCCCAGAAGACGGCGTTCACAGTGAACGGACGCCACGCGTCGCGGCACACCCAGTCGTTCTGCAAAGGAGTACAGTGTGCCAGCAACGGCTGGCGGCGGCCGGGCCGAGAGGCCGGCCGGAGGGCAGGGTGCAGTGGGCTGGGCGGCGGGAGGGGTGAGGGGTGGAGAGAGGGGTGGGGTGGGAGGCAGTGGCTGAACAGATGCGGCGGATGGTGGGAGGGGCGTGGGTAGGTCGTGGGTGGGGCGGATCGCGAACGGGGGGGGGGGGGCGGGGGGGGGGGGGGTAGTAGTAGGAGGGGCGTGTGTAGGTCGTGGGTGGGGCGGATCGCGGACGGGGGGGGGGGGTAGCAGGAGGGGCGTGGGTAGGTCGGGGGTGGGGTGACAGGCAGGTGTAGGAAACGGACAAGTCATTGAGAAGACGGATCGCGGCTGCTCATTTGAGAGCGAATAGGAAAAAGAATATCCCGGGAAGAGATCACCAATATCCTCGGGTATCGGTACATTGTAATGTTCCCACTTCATAGGTATGCTCAACATGAACATTACCTACAGTACGTAGCACGCGGGTGTAAGAGAAATTAGTGATTTAGAAAATAATTATCGATGTGATACGAACACCATGCAGCGCCGCAAATGGAGAAGCTGAGTACTTCGCCAATTTTATTATATACACGTATCCCCTATCCCATTAGCATAAACTGCATTGAAATTAGTTAAAGGGAGATTATGACCTTTTTCCACAAAATCTGAGTTAGGACCATTTTCTGACAAAACACAACAAGTTATAATGTAAATTAAAACCATTTTGCTCAATTCGGTACCTTGCCGCAAATATCTCAACTTGAAGTCGCGTTAGCGGGGAGCGCTGAAAATGACCGTTGAATAAGTACTTACATCACTTTTTGGTACTTGCATGTAATTTTGTAAAATGAGCGTATTCCTCACATTTGATCTTCATCACATCTAGTTAGTTAATGGTCGTCTATAGTGCCTTCAAAAGATATTAATGGTTTGGGGGTGGTTTATGTCTAAATTTACGCAACTATTTTTCCTGTTCATCATCTGTCGCCATATGCTGCTATTTTAGTAGCAACGACTCAATTTTGAATCGGTCCCGCCGACTGCACAATAAAAGAAGATAGATACAACACTTTTGCGGCATCACTGAAAAACTTATGCAGTACTGTTATCAAAATTCTCATAGCACCGTTCGACAAACCTGAAGTCTTTTTGAAATAAATATGCTTGTATTTTTCGCTTCAGGCTCTGAGCCCAAAATAATGAATTTCGTAGTCGCAATCGCAAGATTTGGCTGCGTTTCTGGCGCATGCCGTTCATTTGTGGCGCAAAATAATACTTGGAAACAAAGAAGAGTAGGCACTATGTACCCCCGAATTAGAATCTAAATAATTCTAAACCGAATTAACTCTAATTCAAATTAGAATCCTTACAACCAAGCAACGACAAGGCGATAACATAAACAAAAACCCAGGCGTCGCTGTTTGAAACAAAAGCGCCATATACTGCGACTTTTTTATAGAGAAGGACAACGCATTTCGGTGAGTGTTACAAGTACTGCAAGTACTGCTTCTTTTTCGCAAAAATAAAACCTTTTTCACATACGAAAATGTGCTAGGAAATTTTCATATTTTATAGAAACTAGGGGAAAGTGGGGTAAGACGGGCACCTTAACTTTGGAGCCATTTTTCGGCCGGTTAGAAACATCATAGAAACGGGAAACTGAGTGAAAACCTTTTACAGACATTTTACTTCCATTTGCCAGAAGATGAGACTTAGACCTGACTCAACAAATAAACTGCAGCTATTTTTGCAAAACCTTGCAAAAACCCATCTTACCCCACTCCATGGGGTAAGACGGTCACATGGGTAGGGCAAGACGGCCAGCTTCTTTCACCGACCAGCACAGCTCGCAGCAAATGCCCGAGATTAGCCGCATTGATACAGTCGCTCGTTGGTCTCAAGTGCTTCGGAAATGGCAGTATACGAGATTCGTGCAGAAGGCGTATACTCGTATATAGGCCCTAGTTCAGAAGCCATGTAGAGCCGTTTTTCACATTCATTATTCGAGAATAAACTGTGCCGAAGGAATATTGCTAACATGTCTGTGAGTATCGGAATCGAACATATTCTTATCAGAAATGCTTCTTTTTTCCTACAGCAACAAAAATATTTTTACCATTACAGACCCATCGGATTCATAGTTGCCCGTCTTACCCCAAACTCAATGTCAGAAGTTCAGCACGATTTTTCTCTGTGGACAATTTGATGCAGACAAAGCAAATCCGCGGTGAATGAACACTGGAGGCATATGAGTGTGCCACAAGTGATTGCCAGTTTTTAACTCTATAGTGCTGCACACAAAAGCTTGCACAATACATTATGAATGTTTTCAATGAAATGAGTGTTTTAAAGAAATCAAAATAAAAGATTATTGACCGAACACAAATTCACCAGACTTCAATGGCGGTGTGTAGTGGGAAAGGCTATTCTGGTCCTAATTTTTCTCGCTCGTAGCGCTATTGGTTTGGTCTGCAGAGGGGGTGCCCGTCTTACCTACCTTGACCGTCTTACCCCACTTTCCCCTACAGTAGAAATAGTATAGATGTCGAGTAATTTTTATTTAAGAAAAAAGAAAGCTCATTATCTCCCTTTAACCCTATTCCTGGCGGGCTCCGCCGGGACAAGAAACTGGCGGGGGGGGGGGGGGGCCGATTCGGCCCCCCCTGAGATCTCGAGAACGAAGCAAGATAGCGACAAGCGGTAAACGGCATCGGATACGCATGGACAAGGTCTACAATTTTTACTAAGGTCATTTTCAGGTCAGGTCAAAGATGACGTCACAGGGGTCGAAAAAGTCAAAATGGCGGCGCTAGATATGGAGAGAGCTTTTCTCGAATAACTTTCGAATTAGTCAAGATAGGAACAAACTAAGGGCATCATCGTGATCCTCTCGTCAATCCGCATCGAATGATATATATGTTGACCTCGAAAGGTCAAGGTCAAAGGTTGACCTCAGGTCACGTGACCTCGAGGTCATCATGTATATCATTCGATGCGTCTTGACGAGCTGAACACAATGAGACCATCCACGCGTCTGTATCTTGTTCCTGTACGGAGGTATTGGCCAAAAACCTTTGGTGACCTTTGATGACGTCACATGACCTCACAGCTGCCCAACAGCAAAACAGACCTCAAGGTAGTGAAGGTTGATCGTATATGAAGTCATGTATGGTATATGGGGCCATTCCGACCCGTTTTAGTGGTAAAAACAGGGAGTTGATTTTTCCCCCATTGACTTATAATGGGGAGGTCGCGAAACTGACCTGACCTTAGGTCACCGATATCAAAATTCCGAGATATACAAATTGCACATACTGGTACCCTAACTAAAGCCTGAAGAGAAGAAGTTGATCGGTCAAAAACTCTAGCTCTGGCGTGATTGCAAACTTTTCTGAGGTAGGGTCACCAAACCGCCTCTGGTGACCTGACCTGAGGTCAGATCAACTCAAAATTTTCAGACATGTTGCGTAGAAGCCTTTTAGGAAAAGTCAGAAAATTTGAGCTTCCTAGCTCAACGCGTTTGGGAGAAATAACCAAAAAACCTCAGGGGGGGGGGCTCCTGAGGCCCCCCCCCGCCAGGAATAGGGTTAAGATGATTAAAAAACTCGATAATGATGATGATAATGTGAATGGTAATGATTATGATAATCATTAGCAAAGCATCATCATATGATTGTCTGCTTTACACTTTTATGCCTAAAACTAAACGGCACGTTAACGGTGTTGGCTGAAGTTAATGTTTTTTCATGCTGTTTTGATGAAAGATCAGTGCTCGATGCATTTCTCTGGCAAATATCTCCACCGTGACCGTCTGAACTCCGCGTGAAATTCGAAGGCAGCGGAGACAGCCGCCGCCCGAACCTGGGTACTGGGCAGGTAGGCTGTACCGCATGGCTCGCAGGCACTGCGGCGCAGTATAACACGCAGGCAACCACTTTCGCTATTCAACACTCTTGCTAAGTAACGCTTTTGCGCTACATGTGTTTGAATGCTGATGGAAGGAAGAATGGGAAAGGAAAATAACCTTTTGCGTTCAATTATTCGCTTAATCGAGGCTTGTTTTTCATTACCTACATGTGGAAAGATGATACAGATAAATAGGCTCTTTCGTTGCATTGGCCATAAAGTCCGACGTAATGTCATTGGAATGTTTGTTTTGATCCCATATAGCAGCGCGTATAACTGAAACGATAGATACGTGCTTAAAGGTACTATCCCACCTTCTAAAATGTTGTTAAAACCAGTTAAATTGTGCCCGACTTTATAGATTGGATGACCAGGAACACGGTTCTGGCATTTATTTTTCATTAAACATCTTAGGCTTCCCATATTCCAAACACAAACTTTCAAATATGTGACGTCACAGCCCAAAATTACCTCCTTCCCCAGGCCACATTACTGTCATAAAGCTGATTCTTTTTACTCTGTAGGCACCACAACAAAGTTCAGACCAAGTTTTAAGCGATTTTTCAACGAACAAACTCATTTAAATCAGAATGACTAAACGAGGTGACGTCACACTAACGGTCGCTCCATGTTGAAGATAGGGCCTTGTACAAGGCCCATTTTCAAATGAAGGGAACGAATTTCTTCAACACCAAGAGGCCGCGGGGGTTGCAACCTAGATAGATAGTGGTTTCTGAACCTCGCCGCAAACTTGGCTATCTCAACTCAAACCCCATGTTAAAGGTGGGATAGTCCCTTTAAACATGGATTATTTCTCACACTTTCGCTTAACTGAACACGCCCTTTGCTAATAAAATATCAGCCCATTTTCAATTAGTCGTCGCTGACTGGGTGATTCACTTGATGGCAACAATACGGCACCAATCATTAAACAGCCACCTGATTAATGCCTGGACTCTATGAGCTGAAAACTTCAGGTTACAAACAGCCCAGCTACATACTAGCAGCCAAAAATTTGCTGGCCAACCCGCTCGGATACTGAAGTGCCCTACTTTGACTCGATTTCTACCGAAGACTCCCGGCGCTGTTGCATCTGAAGTGACCTAAAAACAGTGGATGCTTAGTATTCGTGACAAGACAGTTAGAGGGAACCAACTGTGACCCCAGTTTGCAGCATTGTGTTCTCAGAAGGTAGGCAGGCAGGCCAGCCGAGGGTCGTAAAGGATCCTTCAAATAAATTCTTTCGCACATCTGCCATTGAGTAGAGCACCAATTCATCGACGAAAAAATAGAAATTGCTATCTAGAATACTTCTACTGGAACGAGAATGTTTATATAGTCCCGCAAAACTAGTTAGCATTCTTCGGAGGCTTCGGAGCACTACGCCTGACAAAAAGCAGAGACGACTCTATGGAAATTCATCGTGACGGCTTCCACCTCTGCAGTAGTCGTTGGAGACGAGGGGCCGACAGATAAATCGCTAATAAACAACCATTAATAACAGCCGCCTAGACAGACGTCCTTTGATTGTTGATGTTACAAATGTTACCGCTACTGTGTGACGCCAAAGCAAAGCAACGGTGAGTGCTGTGATTAATTATTGCAAGTCCTAGAGCCGACCACGAGACTTTGCTTTACGGGTACGAAATGTACGAACTGCTGCTGTCGGCTCATACGATTGGTGGGTGTACATACACCTTAGCATGGTTGTAATTGCACCGACCCAGACGGGGGGTGGGGGGTGGGTGAGGGGCGGAGTGGGAGGGATAGATATATGTGGCGATTGGGCACAACCTCAAAGCAGTTCGTTTCTATTTGTGCACTACCACTGCATTATTATGGAAATTCGGATAAAAGGAGTGACACATGATTTCTCTTCTTTACGGCCGTCAGTGATTCGTTTGATGTTGAATGTTCGAACACCATAAATTTCTCCGTTTCATACAGTACACCGGCACAATGAGTACCTAAGCCTTCAGTTGCATCAATATAGGCCAATCAGCTGGAATGCATAGAAGCTTTCCAGCTTTCCGGATGTTTTCTGGTGTGATCGTTCCTTCATACTCACATTGACACTTCAAAGAGCCCAATCGATAATTGATAGCAATAATTGTTTGGTGATAATGACGGTGAAACAGCTTCAAAGCAAATCCAGGATTGACGAAAATCCATTGAGAAATGGAAAGAGTCGGTGAAACCAAGAGAACTTTGTGAAAACTTCGAACTCCAAATGCACTCAGCAAGGGCCACAAATTCCAAACTAAGTGTTACGTTCGTGCACCACACGATAAAACTGTCGCAAGCCTCCAATATGCACCTGCACCAGGGACAATCGATACAACACTAGGGACAATCGACATCTGCTGCCCATTCTGCACGCTTTGTTAGAGCGACTCTTACCTCCGAGGCAATCGTGTCAAAGAGCACGGAGGTGTCGTAACTCCAGCTGCCGCAGCGGCTGTCCGCCGCCGCCCCTGCGCCGGTGGACCCGTTGCCCTGGGGCTCGCCGGGGCCCCCCGCTGCGTCCAGCAGACTCTGTGTGCTGCTGTCCGGCAGCACCGCGCAGCCGCCGTCCGTCTGTCTGTCGGCGGGCACCCCTCGGCAGGAGAGCGGCGGCGTCAGCATCATCAGCAGCTGGGCATAATAGGTGAGGCTGCAGACCAGTGTGGAGCCGCCGATCAGCATCACACACATCAGACGCTGGTACAGGCCGAACGCCCCCACCTGTTCCAGCAGCGTCTCGAACGTGGGCCGCGGGCACTTCTCCAGCCGGCCGGCCTCTCGCGCCTTCTCCTCCATGGACGGCATGGTGGCGGGTGTGTGACGAGCTCGGGACAGTGCCGCTCGGCTGTGCTCCCGCCTCGGGCAGTGGCTGTATAGGACGGCCGCCGGCGGTCCGCCCCGTCTGCGCTCAGCGCCTCACTGCGCTGGCTGCCGGCGGCCGCCCGGCTATAAGGCGACCGGCGCGGCGCCCTCACTGCTCCTCTCCGGCGACCCCCCCGCCCCCCGCTAGACGCCCCCCCCGCAGAGTCACCCCGGCGCCTCTCCACTGAACCCCCCCCCCGCCTGCGCCCCCCCCCCTCCGCAGAGTTCCCTCTGGCGCCGTCGGAGCGGGCATTCGCCGCCGGCGATTGAATTGCCATTGAGGACACCTGTCCTTCGGGGCACCTGCCCTCAGGACGTGTAGCCCCAACAAGCCTCCGGGGGGGGGGGGGGGTCAAATGGTTCACCCTCAGTGTTTGTAAATAAGGTTGGGTGGAGAGGGTAGGGAGGAGAGAGTATTTATTATTTAATCGGTCCTAATTAGAAGCGGCACACGCGAGAACTCTATCACTCGATACCGCTGTGCGTGCACCAGAAAATGAGAGCTCACTTTGGATCTGTTTACTTTTTTGGCCACACTAATTGCGATCTAGGGATGGCGTCAAGCGATGGGATGATTAGAAATTGGCTTCACTTGCAATGCAATCAACGGTGGAAATGAGGTCTACGAAACTAATAAAGGAGCGCTATTCTGAGTATTTCCTCATTACTCTGCAAGGATGGATCATCAGTGCTGCATAAGTTTTGCTATTTTCTTATCAAATAAAGTTGTTTAGGAAAATCGCATGGTCAAGTTCACTCCGAAATACGCGTTCCAAAAAGTCGCATCATAGGTACCTACTTAGGTATTTGTGCACTGTCGTCACGCTTCAAAGTCCAATTTTAAATGTTTGATCATGAATAATGCATTGCGCAACGACAATAATAAGGGACATGTGTGTCCGGCAAGGGTGTAATTGACACGGTCACTGACACAGGGGTCACCGGCACTGTCACTGACACGGATTGAGACGTTGTGTCACTGTTCAGGCCATGAATAAAACAATGTGATTGCTGCGCCCACTTAGTATGGCATGGGTATTAATTAACAATCAACAACGTGCAACGCAGCTATCGTTCGGAGGTTAACTGTGACCTGCAGCAGTTATTTGCACAGAGCGAACGGACACAGTGTTAGTCCATTGTTCGAGAGAAGCGCCCGGCAGTGACCTTACCAGCACTTAATTACCGTTAGCGCAGCTGTGGCTGGTGATAAAAGACTGTCAATCATCACCTCGTATGGGATGATGACCTTGTTTACAATCTGTCAGCACATGTTTTAGAACAGCAGAGTGCTATACGAGTGTAGGACCTACTTGGTGCATTATGTGTGATGGAGCTACGAGAACAATGGAGCCAGCTGGAGTGCACTTGTGATGGCTACCCTGTCCCATGTGCCCTGTGCAGCTCACGCTGCAGCCTGTGTATTATTTTTGTCATGCCAATGTCTTCATTTGGCATGCTTTTTCCCTGTATTTTCCACAATCACAGAGCTGCTAACTTATCCGTGCTGCGCTGATTTCTTTGTCAGGTTTGTCTTGGCCCGTGGTTATCTATGAGTACCTAATCATTTTTTAGTCTAGCATATTTACGAATATATCATTTCAAGGTATCAATGATCAATCGCGTCGTTTGTTCCCACACATCTGTTTACAATGGCGGAACGGGATCACGTGCTGAAGTTACTCTGAAAACGGCTTCTCGTGCCACGTGCCCGGAACATTAGCCGCGCAGCAGTAGGTACCCATGTCGCGTTTTTCGGCTGGTTTAGTAGAGCGAGATATGCCGAGAAGCTGAAGTTTATTTTAACTACTCTTAGATACGCGTCGTCATTTTCCAGAGTCAAAATATTTACGTTTGATCGTAACTGCATAACACATTAATGGTCGTAGCTCTGTGGTGGTTTCTGTAATCAAAGCCCCATAGAGCGATCGACGACCATTGCTCTACAACAAGTTACGGAAGCTCTTGGGGCAGACAGCGCGTATAATGCTTAGCTGCATTTTTATTTACAACATAAGAATCAGTAGCGTAGACGATTATAGGTATCAGACAGTTCAAAGTCAAACGCATAATGACCCATGTGAATACCTTCTATTTCATCTTTGTTGGCAAGCCAAGTGTGTTTTGCTCTTCCACAATTGCGGTCGTTTTTTGCTTTTTGGACCTGCTTCGCCCTAGTGAATCGGCAGCCTCTGAAACGGTTACATAATTTCTCGGAAAACAGACTCGGAGCGGCGTTCGGTTGCCATGGCAGCCGGCCCGCCTGGCAGTCTCTCCTGACCAGCGCAACTGCTGGCACGCGAGGCGACACAAAAACCCGGATACAGCCAGACATAACCGGCCGTAACCGGCCCGGACCGGATGGCGCCCCAGTCTGAGGGCCCGTGGATCAGAGGCACGTGGCCGAGCATAGGGGCGGGGTAGGCCAGGGGCTCTGGGCGGTCACCCTGCCTCGCCCGACCGCTGGGGTCGATCACCTGACCCTGTTGTCGTTGGCAATGCGAGGTCACGTGACACAATGTTAAGGTCGCTGTGTTAACCCTCGCCCGCACATGGGGGGGGGGTTACCACCCCCCCCCCCCAGGTAGTCTTTCTGCTTTGCACTCAACATTTTTAGAGCTAGAAGGCTGATTTTTCGTATAGCTGCTCCTCTATCCTTTCTGGATGTCCACTGGAAATTTCAAGTTTATGTGGTTTTTGGTTTCGGAGATATGACCTTGTTTTTCAGGTCATGTCATGACCCAAATGGCCAATTCTCAACATTTTGCGTTGGCTATGGGCCTTGTGAGCTTTTGACACCCTGATTTCGTTTTTTTTTTGCCAGTCTTACCTCCCACCTATCATGGAACATGTTGTTCGACGATGTACAGATGTCAAGGTCAGGGTCAAGGTCAACCTAGGTCATCTAAGATAATTGCGTTTTAGGCAAGCTGAATTTATTTTTTTGTGAATTTTTTTGACTGCATTTTTGGTAAAAGCTTCTCAGATCATGATTTCATGTAATATGGACACATAAACAACCGCTGCACACATCAGTATACACACAGTCACACACAAACATACAAACACATATCATTGACCTTGACCTAACTTGACCTGAAATGACCTCAGCAGCAAAAACCTGGTGGGGTAGTGTGACAAAGAGGCTCTAGCTGGCTTGGCACCAGAAAACGGCATCGTCATCGGTATATGATAAGCAGCGCAATTGATATCCAACGGTGACCCAAAACAGCAATATTTTTTAGTTTGACCTGACCTGGAAGGTCAATGACTGACCTGAGAAGGTAAAACTGGGTACCATTGGATTTGCCTCTTCCCAAAGAATCTTTTTGGTCTTTACCGCTAAGCTCTATCTCCAACAGGAACGAAATGGCGCAAGGGGGTGGCAACCACCCCCCATGTGCGTTCTAGGATGGGAAAATGGCATGTGCGGGCGAGGGTTAAATCGGTGAGGGCTGCGAACATGATACATTCAATTGAACCTTCCGCAGTCGAGGAGGGAAGCGTGTGCCACGCTAGTGAATTTTTGTCTTCACAATTGCTCGGTACGCGGTGGCCACACTGAGCTGAAGATTAGCACGGCGCACGCCATATCTGTCCGCTAATTCAAGTGGTTGATGTTGTGACACCAACATCAACCACTTGTTATGGCAATCCGTAGTGAAATACTCGATACCAAACCGAGGAAAAACTGACGAACATGGAAATTAACGTATTTCGAAGCACGAAGCCACTAAAAGCAAGAATCTGATCTCGCATGGATTTAGGTATTGCTGAAGTGCGTAGCTCTGAGAAAAACATTGAGAGGGGGGGGGGGGTGAGAGCAGCATTGGGGAGGGGGGCTCAAAAGTATACAAATTAACACCAGTGGGTATATACATTTTATTCGTCAATGTCTCGCTTGGTTTTCAAGTCATCGCGAATTAGTTGTTGATGTGGGAAGCTCTTGCATCTCCCTCAATCGTTGGCGGGTTAAAGGAAATATTCCCTCGCCGGACCTATTGGTTTTTTACATATTGCGCCGGCTGAGGGGGGGGGGGGTGAGGTACGACCCTACTTGCCGTTTCGCCCCTGATAGAGGTAGAGCGTCGATAAAAGAACGAGCGTGTGCGCCGTTACGAGACGCTGCGACTGGTACCCAATTTTAAGGTCTCAGGACAACCGGTGACCTCTGAGGTCAGGTCAAGTGACCCAAGACACGAGTTTAGCTTCTCATAAATAACCGCAAAAAAAAAACGGCCACTAAGCCGCGATTTGGCATCATCGTGTCCGTCTCGCTCAGGCTCTGACTGAGCCTGAGCGACCTGAATGATATAGGTACTTTATATATCATTCACCTGAACTGAACGACCTGACCTGAATGATATAGGTACTTTCTGTTTGGTTGAGGTCATTTTGAGGTGTTGACTTCGGGTCAAGGTCAGGTCAGCGCCCCCCAGGTCACGAAGGTGGGCGAAGGAGGTCATGTCGCATAGCGTTCGGTTCGACATATCTTTCTGAGTCCATTGGTGGCTTTGTCGTCTCGCTAGCTCAATTTGATCGAGAGTTATTAACCCGCGCCCCACTGGGGTCTGTGTATAACACGCCCTACTGGGGGGGGGGGGCTATTCATAGCCCCCCCTCCTAACTCCGAAACTACTGGGCCGATCGCCAAAATTCAAACGGCGTCTGATAGCCCCGGAAAAACTGTCGAGCGAAACCTAATTTCATTGACCTCGAGGTCACCGAGGACGTCACAGGTCAGGTCAAAGTAAAAATTATTAGCACTTTGGCTTGTTCACATTTTGGGCTCTGGCCGCCGTCTTACAAGTCAGATCAGGCTCATTTTTGGTTTCCACACTCGTGAACAGATGCTCTAGATACCTTGAGGGTACCAAACTTGTACTTTGATTTTCAGGTCAGGGTCAGGTCATCACAGGTCACGAAAATATTATATCATGCATCGGTCACGTGACACATGTTTTATGGTCCATTTAGGCCATAGATTTCGAATTTGATGTCGTCTGTGTCATTCGAGGTCATTTTGAGTCGAATTTAGCTTAGGTCAGGTCACTTTCAGGTAAAAAAAGGTCAAATTTTGAAGTTA